AAAAAAATAACTTAAAAGAAAAACTTTCCTTGATTTCCTTCTTTGGCACACATTCCATCTTTCCATCTGCCATCGCTCAGCTGAACTCCCCTCCATACACACACACACATTCACTTTACAACAAACACACTTATAAAGCCAAAGTTCATGAAAAAGTTCGTCACTTCTTGTATGCTCCCATCTCCTCGCCTCTGCTGCCGCTCCTCCTCACGCCCCCGAAATGCCAATCGGGGATGAAAAGAATATCTTGATTGCAAACACAGGAGCATCTGTAGACCTATACCCAGGAGTCAGGAGAGCCGGGGTACTGCTCTGCCCTGTACGAAGGCCTCCGTGTGCTAGCGTAAAAGTCCACATAGTTGGTGGTGGATTTCAGTCCATGAGGCTGGGAGCTGTAGTCAACCGTGGGCGGGTAGGTGATGACCTCCTCCAAGTAAGGGTCGTCAAAGCCGTGGGGATGCTTCAGGTACATTCTGTACGTATCGTAGTTTCTCCGGCCCGGATCCTCTGTGTAATACATAGGCTGCAGGGAAAAGAGACAGGTAGGAGGCTATGATGAACTGTTTTGCCTTTGAATATGATCAAGACCCAGTAGAGGAAAGTAACTACCATGACTACATTTACTCAAGTACTGTATTTAACGTGAAATTAAGTCAAATCATTCAATCAAATCCTGTCTTTAAAACTCTCTCTCTGCAATTACCTCTCAATGTGGTAATTTAGTGGCGGAGTTTACAAGATAAATATTGTATGAGTCATGTTTGTAATATAGTCTAACAGTTTTTATTTTCATCTCATTGATGTCTGCCTGTTCACTCTCGTTAACTCTCTATTAACTTAATGCTAATGCAAGGTTGCAAACATTTCTCACAGCTGCTGTCTCATATTAAAAGCTTTCAACTGACAAAACATCGGGAGGCTTTTATTGTGAAGCAGTCACAGGAAACAGTGCATTCGTACCCAAAGTTAGCGCTGACTGCACACCTCCAACTCCTCAGCAAGGTAACCAATTCCTCTCTGGGACCGGTGCTGTAGTATCAAACTGTACTTAATGTTACCACAATAAACCACAAGTGTTGCCAAATAAACCAGGACAGAAATGTTAATGATTATTACTTTAAGTACAGTTTTGAGGTATTTATTGTTATATTTTATGTATTAGGTATTTTATGCTACTTAATACTTCCTCCACTACATTTCTACATTTCAGGTATAGTTGGTGGCTACTTTGCAGATTCTAATTTTCATTCAAAACTTAAAGTTTTACGATGCACTGTTACACAGCACATAAAGTAGATAAAATGAACTCCATCTCAACCAACATTAAAATGCAGCTTACACATTAATAATTAGTGTTTAAAAACTAATAATTTAATATTCTGCATAATAACATAACACAAGGCAGGCGAGTGCTTTTACTTTTAGTAATTAAAGTACTTGTGCTGATAATACTTAAGTGTATTTATAGAAGTATGAATTTAATAAGAGGAATTTTAGTTGTAATAGAGTATTTTGTATTTTCACATTGCCTTACTTTTACTTAAAGGAATAATTTGACAGTTTGGGAAATTCGCTTATTTGCTTTCTTTCCAAGAGTTAGATAAGCACATCGATATAGTACCTCTGGACTCTCATCTGTTAAATATAAGGCTTCAGCCAGCAGCAGGTTAGCTTAGCCAAGACTGGAAACAGGAAAAAACAGCTGACCTCGACCTGTCAAATAGTAACAAAACCTGGCTACCAGCATCTCTAAAGCTACTTAACACGTAACATCTTATTTGTTTAATGTGTACAAAAAACAAAGACGTAAAAACATCAAGCTTTTTTGGCCATGCAGAGTAACTTCTCCACTGGCTCTTCCCATCAAACCCTTAGAAAGCAAGAGAGTATATTTCCAAAAATGCCCAAATATTCCTTTAATTAAAAGGATCTGAATACCAAAGAAAGCACAAAAAGCAGTCTTCTACTTTGGGTAATAAAATGAAACAACATGCACTGAAACCTCAGTAGTTTTTAGCAGAATGCACTCTTGTCTGGCAGGAGATTTTTCAGCCACTAAGCTAATCAATCACCTTCCAGCCCAAACGTCTCTGGACACTAATGCAACAGAAAACTGCTTCAAGGTAAATGGCAGAAATCCAGAAGATAAATGGAATTGTGTTTGTCTGAAATAAATGGGGTAATGACTGTCCTCATACATTAACTGGTCTAAATGTGATGGGATGAAGGACACAAGAGAACTCTCGCTTTGTCTGCCCCATCTCCTCCCTCCTTCTCACTGTGCCCATTATTTGAATGGGCACACATGGATGTGTCCCGCAGTGACAGGTGCCTGAGACGCACCCAGACCATCCCAATCCCAGCAGTCACATTCACTCTCGCTCAGACAATAGCTGATGTGCTGGGTCATTCCCAGCATCGCCATTTATTCACAGTGGAATACGCGTCAGTCTCTTTGTATTAGTCAAGTGAGGTGGAAGAGCTGGTTGTCCCCGCCAGGTTTATACAGCGCGGCGGAGGGATTTCAAACAAGGGCCTTGTACCAATAGCATCAAACATTTCCTAGAAGAAAACACTGGTTTTCAAGGGTGAAGATCACACCTAAAGGTTGCTTTCTTAGTTCAATAATGAAGCCAAGTAGTCTGTAATGAGTAGTCGAACTTCAAAAAAATTTGTTGATGAGAAATCTAATTTAAATAATTGTTTTATATTATTTATCAAGCTAAAATGTAAAACAGTCTCTTGTTAAAGCTGCTTTACTGCCTTGTAAATCATTGTATATTTAATATCTTTGGGCTTTACACTGTCTGCAAACAAGCCATTTGCAGACAGGGAATTGGGATGGGCGTTTAGGAACTGACATGACATTTCACCGTCAAAATGTTTAATAAAAAAAATTATAAGCAGATTAAATGATAATGACAATAATAATTTGTTTCTGTCGTAGTGCAAAACTTTACTTTTTTGATCCATTTAAACCTCTTCCAAAATGTACATACTTAGCTTCTGAATTAAAACATGAAAAATTGTCAGATATTTCCACCAACACCTGAGGCACAGTGACAACATGATTGATAGTTAATGACTGTCTGCGCTCTGTGCACCTTGTAGTGCCTCATGCCCCGAATGTTATGTTGTGATTACGGTGATGCTATTATGTCATTGTGGGTTGTTACAAGTTGTAAACTACTGTAATAATAACAAAAATACTGTGCACATAAAATTAATTGTATGAAATATAGATTTTGACACACTTATCTTGAACTTATATTCACCTGTGTTCTTCTGGGCTCCTCTCTTGTGGGTGATGAGTAGTAATATGGAGAAGGCTGTCCAGACCCTGGAAAAAAGTGAAAATAAAAAAAGCAATTTTGTGGGATTTGATGCAAATACATTTCATTTCATATCAGTGAGAAAGTGTGCACATCCCTGTCAGCCAAAAGTCTATATTTAGACAGAGAAGGATCACAAAGTGCTATGCTGTGCTGGAGAGAGAAATAACACAAAATAATTGAGTTGGCCACTGCTGTTCTGTTGTTTACATAGCCCATGGGATGGGTATTTTGGTTGGCACCTTATCCAACCGGTGGAATGCTGAAACTTAATTTCCACTTCCAATGTATTGCATGGACTGTTGAAGTTGCAGCTCATTTTGTTTACTCTGCCTCCACCCCCCCTCTTGCTCCCGCCAACCAGCGTAGGTTGGCGAGAGCTCTCGTCTGGCTGTTGTATGTCTGGGTACCCACTCACTGCCCCTGTCTGCATGCTGCGACTTGGGCCTGCTAACAATGGCGCCATTGAAGAGTGTCCACCACTGGCCGGCCAGTTTGCTTTACTGCTGTGCAGAGCATCTCCAGCACAAAAACAGCTCTGAGGTGCTCTGAATGAAACTGTCTGACCGTCTCGGGCATGTCTTGGCAGGGAGAGGAAACTGGCCATGGAATCTGCTTGGAGCGTTATGAGGGATAAAACAGATAATGCCCCTGCACAGAGGACCACAGCCTGAGATTACAGTCTGGTGCAGATGGTAGATACTGTTTGAATATAATTTTAAAGGCTACCAATATGCAAGCTGTAAGCACTTTAAATAGCTTTCAGATGTATTTGCACTGTTTAAGTACCTGTATACTGTTTTTTATGGATACTGTTGTCCCCTTGGTAATTATAAAATTGCATAGTTGACTGTGCTCTCTGATAATCTCTGATAGTGTCTCTATGCTCTTTGATGCCCAGCATGGCAGGAGACGACGTGGCACTGGCAGCTGCGAAGAGAAAAACACATTTAAAACATTAAATTCCAGAGGTTTTCCTGTTTCACTAGTGGTGTCTATTTTCATCTGGCAGGGCGTGCGGCAAACTAGTGCCTACCAGTGTGGTTGACTGGGGACATCTGAATGGTGCTGGTGGGTAAAGTGGGCTGGGACTTGAACCTGTCCCGTTCAAGTGTTGACACCGGAGTGAGGAAATGGTTTTGGTTCCATCCATCCTGTTAGGACAAACAGAGAGGAGGAGTGGTGGTTTGAATAACTAGAACAGAGCTGAATGTCACAGACCTCTATATTTAAAAAAAAATCCTTTGCTGTGTGGTCTAGGTGTGGCTAAAAGGAACAGTAGGCAGTTTTTTTTACATTCTTAACATTTGGTTTTGGCAAAAATAATAATAAGAATAATACACTTTGAATAAAATATAACAAAACCGAGGGATAACATGAAGTAAAAAAAAATTTAATGGCAAGAGAGGTATGATAAAACCCAGCAAGATATGAAATATTTAGAAACGCTTTCCTATAAACTGCTTTAAGAAGGGATTTAAAGGACGCGAATGATGTTGTGGGTCTGATTTCAATAGTTCCACAGTCTTGGGGGTCTAACAGCAAAGGCCCAGTCACCTTTGGTTACAAGCTGGGATCTGGGATCAACCGGCGGAGCTGCAACCACCGTTTTAAGAGAACATCGAGGCACATAGGGAGTCAATAAATCATCAATATAATGTGGAGCAAGGACGATTAAAAAGTGATGAGTAGAATTGTAAAATCGATACGGTACGTAATGGGCAGACAGTGCAAGTTGGCTAATTTCAGAGGGTGTTCCAGACATCTTTCTTTTTATGATAGAGGGTCGCTGCCATCAGGCCCAAAACTCTTACTTTCTTATAGATGGTACGCAGATCCCGGTACTGCCACAGTGTGTTCAGCACCTGAGCGGTTGCTTTAACCACCTTCATAGAATACCTGGAAAACAGATAAACATGTGTTTTTGAGTATTCACAAATCACTTTAACCTCATTTTAAATAACACTGTAAATATTACAGGACAGTATGATTGAAGGAAGAGAGTATCGTCAGTGTGTTTTAACCTGGAACATTACTGAATATATAGCAGGCTAGAAATAGCTACAGCGCTGTTCCATCATTCCACGGGGACTTAAAACCTCAATGCACACAAAACCACCTTCCCTGTGGCTATATTAAATGTTTGTGTCTGTGTGTGTGCTCAAATGGGGGAGTGTTTGTGTAAAACTCCCACTGTACAGTGTCCAGGACAGTCTGTACAGCCCTGCCACCAGCCACACATGGCTAATGACTGTTAGTGTGTGCTAGCAGTGCATTTGAGCATGTGCATGTGCATGTTAGGTCTGTATCAGTGTGTACTCTACACCCTCACTAAAAGCGTAGGGACAAATGCATGCTGCTGTAGCACACCTGTCTCCTCTGCCCTTGGTGATGTTGACCAGCTTCTCGATGCCGCCCGTGTCGGCCAAGGCCTTGGCGTTCTCCATGTTTTTGCTTGTGACCTCGTGCAGGGTGCAACAGATGGCTGCCACGGTCTCGTCTGACAGCAGGGTGGTGTTACCCCCAGGGAGGCGGTTGACCAGGTCCCTCATAGCATACTTCCCTGAGAGAGAGAGAGAGAGA